GCGTATATATGCCGGCTTCATTCACTGTGAATCGAGCTCTGCTGTACTACACAATACCTTGCATAGCATTGTTACATAACATGTCATACAATCACTCTTCTCCATACAGCACACACAAGGATTGGTTATGGCCGAGCCAGCTTTGTGTGTGTTGGAGAGGGGTTGGAGGTGGAGGATCAGACGAAGAGATGTGCCAAAGCACCTCCCCGAACACACTTGACAAAATTCCATCAAGCATAGCACATTTGTACCACAAACGTGGAACTTTCACAACTTCATATGTATGCACGCATTGCACAACCATGTTGCAGCCATTGTACACATTCCTCTCCCTGAACCGAGCCACAGCAGAGGGAGCAGCACAGTAGTTGGCCTGCCAAAGCATATCAGAGGCCTGAGTGGGATGGGAAGGCCTCGGGTGGGTAGAAACGCAAGGGTTGGGATGAAAAGGCATGGGTGGGTGGCGTGAATAGGCAAGGGTGCGATGAAAATGCATGGATGGGTTGATATGGCATGGGTGGGTTGAAAAGGTATGAGTGGGATGAAAAGTTATGGGTGGGTGGGATGAATAGGCATGGGTGGGATGAAAAGACATGGGTGGTTGGGATGAATAGGTATGGATGGGATGTCAAGGCATGGGTGGGTGGCGTGAATAGGCATGGGTGGGATGAAAAGGCATGGGTGGGATGAAAAGGCATCGGTGGGTTGAAACAGCTGGGTGGGTTGAAAAGGTTTGGGTGGGCTAAAAAAGGCCGGGGTGGGATGAAGAGGCCTGGGTGGGTTGACAATGCCTGATTGTTATGAAATGTCAGGGTAGGTTGGGATGAAAAAGGCATGGGTGGGATGGAAAGGCATGGGTGGGATGAAACGGCCAGGGCGAGTAGAAAAATGCAAAAAGCGCAGAGAAGGAGCAGACGAAACAGTGGAAGTTGGAGGCTCTGAGGAGAGGCTTGCCGCTTCTGTTCAAGCGGCAAAAGCAGAAATGGAAGGGCAGAAAGCAGGAGTGCAAGGGCAGGTATGAGAGCAGTGGGGGGTATGAGAGCAGTGGGGGGTATGAGAGCAGTGGGGGGTATGAGAGCAGTGGGGGGTATGAAAGCAGTGGGGGGTATGAGAGGAGTGGGGCGTATGTTAGGAGTGGGGTTATGAGGGGAGTGGAGGTTATGGGGGGGATACAGGGGATGAGAGGAGTGGTGGGTATATGAGGAGTGGGAGATATGAGAGGAGATGTGGTATGTGATGTGGTATGTGATGTGGTATGTGATGTGGTATGTGATGTGGTATGTGATGTGGTATGTGATGTGGTATGTGATGTGGTATGTGATGTGGTATGTGATGTGGTATGTGATGTGGTATGTGATGTGGTATGTGATGTGGTATGTGATGTGGTATGTGATGTGGTATGTGATGTGGTATGTGATGTGGTATGTGATGTGGTATGTGATGTGGTATGTGATGTGGTATGTGATGTGGTATGTGATGTGGTATGTGATGTGGTATGTGATGTGGTATGTGATTGTGGTATGTGATGTGGTATGTGATGTGGTATGTGATGTGGTATGTGATTGTGGTATGTGATGTGGTATGTGATGTGGTATGTGATGTGGTATGTGATGTGGTATGTGATGTGGTATGTGATGTGGTATGTGATGTGGTATGTGATGTGGTATGTGATGTGGTATGTGATGTGGTATGTGATGTGGTATGTGATGTGGTATGTGATGTGGTATGTGATGTGGTATGTGATGTGGTATGTGATGTGGTATGTGATGTGGTATGTGATGTGGTATGTGATGTGGTATGTGATGTGGTATGTGATGTGGTATGTGATGTGGTATGTGATGTGGTATGTGATGTGGTATGTGATGTGGTATGTGATGTGGTATGTGATGTGGTATGTGATGTGGTATGTGATGTGGTATGTGATGTGGTATGTGATGTGGTATGTGATGTGGTATGTGATGTGGTATGTGATGTGACCCATGCGATGCGACCTATGCGATGAGAACCATGTGGCTCTTCCATGAGGCCCACAACTTCCATGATGAGTTCTGCTGAAACGGCAGTGAGTATAGTGGACAAAGTCGGCTGGAAAGGCACATGAAGATGGACGAGTTGGATCTCCTGTCTCCTGTCTTCTGGTTCGTACGTCGTGCCTCGTGCAAGTTGGGCAAGCTCGTAGGGGGCAGGGCAGGCAGTGACCTGCCAAGGCTGTTTCACACCAACCATTGCAGTGCCAATGCACGGGCATGGTGCGGGGATGGTGGGACGATGGGTGATGAGGTAAAGGGTTGATGGGTTGATGGGATGATGGTGTAATGAGATCATGGGTCTGAGATCGGTGGACACAAGAGACAATGGGGGGAAAATGGCAGTGGTGGTGTGCCAGGTGTCAAATGAGAGCACAGACCTGATTCAGTAGAGGTTAAGGACCAGGGTAGATTACAAGGCACTGCTGACCTCTGTGTAGAGATGAGTGATGTGATCCCTGATCGTGTGAGTGCATGCTACTGGCTGGTCTATGCACACCTGGAAGGTTATCGGGGGGGAGGGTGGCCAGAGTGAGAGGGGGGGAGAGAGACAGCGACGTGGGTGCAGGATAGGCGGATTGGGTCATTGTGAAATCAGGCACAGCGTATTCAGGCACAGAAGATTCCGGCACAGTGAACTCAGGACAGAGATTTTTTTTCAGGCTCAGGGAATTCACGCACAGAAATCTCAGAACATAAAAATTTAGGCACAGGGCATTCAAGCACAGGGAATTTAGGCACAGGGAAATTAGGCGCAGGAATTCCAGGCAGAGAGCATTCAGGCATACAGAGAATCTAGGCATAGGGGATTCAAACAAAGATGGGCACAGGAATTCATGAACAGGGAATACAGGCACAGTTGATTCAGGCACAGGGAATTCGGGCACAAAAAATCCGGGCACAAGAATTGAGGCAGGGGGAATTGAGGCACAGGGCATACATGCACTGCACAGGGAGGCAGAGGCAAATCAGGAACAGAGAATGCATGCATTAAAAATCCAGGCACAGCGAATTCAGGCACAGGAGATTCAGGCACAGGGAATTCAGGCACGGGGAATTTCGGCACGGGGAGATAGGGCACGGGAATTTAAAGCACAGAGAATTCAGGCACTCGGATTGAGGTACAGGGAATGAAGGCACCGGGAAATAAGGCACAAGGGCATTCAGGCACAGGGAATTTAGGCACAGGGAATTTAGGCACAACTGTTCAGGCACATAGAATGCATGCACAGATAATTCAGGCACAGAAACTTCAGGCACAGGGAAATCAGGACAGGGAACCCAGCCCAGGCACAGGGATTCAGGCACAGCGTATTTAGGCACAGGAGATTCAGGCACGGGGAATTCAGGCACAGGGCATGCAGGCACAGGGCATGCAGACGCGAGGAACTCAGGCAAATGGCATTCAGGAACAGGGGATACAGGCGCAGATGATCCAGACACAGAGAAATCATGCACAGGGAATTCAGGAACAGGGAATTCAGGAACAGGGAATTCAGGAACAGGGAATTCAGGAACAGGGAATTCAGGCACATGTAATTCATGCAGAGAGAAATAAGGCCCTTCAGGCACGAAGAATTCAAGCACAGCGAATTCAGAAACAGGGAATTCAGAAACAGCGAATTCAGAAACAGGGAATTCAGAAACAGGGAATTCAGAAACAGGGAATTCAGAAACAGGGAATTCAGAAACAGGGAATTCAGAAACAGGGAATTCAGAAACATGGAATTCAGAAACAGGGAATTCAGAAACAGGGAATTCAGAAACAGGGAATTCAGAAACAGAGACTTCAGAAACAGGGAATAGAAACAGAGAATTCAGAAACAGGGAACTCAGAAGGAGGGGATTTTAGAAACAGGGAATTCAGAAACAGGGAATTCAGAAAGAGAGAATTCAGAAACAGGGAATTCAGAAACAGGGAACTCAGAAGCAGGGAACTCAGAAACAGGGAATTCAGAAGCAGGGAATTCAGAAACAGGGAATTCTTAAACAGGGAACTCAGAAGCAGGGAACTCAGAAACAGGGAATTCAGGCAGAGGGCAGAGGCATCCTCATGGCATTCAGGTACAGGAAATTGAGGCACTGATCATCCAAGCACAGGGCATTCAGGCACAGGCGCAGGAATTGAGGCACAGGGAATTGAGGCGCAGGAATTGAGGCACGGGGAATTGAGGCGCAGGAATTGAGGCACGGGGAATTGAGGCGCAGGATTTGAGGCACGGGGAATCGAGGGCGTCTGCTGCATTGAGGGTATACCACAGTTTCACATTGCCAAGCATAGGCGTCTGCTGCATTCACTAACACTCTCCTTCCCTTCCACAAGCCCTCCTTTGCAACCCATTTCCCGCTGCTTCTTCTCGTATCTCAGGAATCAAGACATATCCGGGCTGTGCCGCAGCTGCCATGGGTCATTAGCCTTTCATCCAGCGGTTGACAAAGTCAGTCCGTTAGGAGATTATGACAAAACGAGAATAATGTGGCTTTTCATCACACAAGCGATTTGGTCGGTACATGGTCGGCCATGGCCATGAGGTGCCATGACATTTACTTGTCCTTTTGACAGCATTTGCAGCTTCTCCTGCATGACTACTTGACTTTCAACAGACTTATAATGGTAGGATTGGTCCATTGATGCTGAGAAGCCCGGACTTGACAACGTAGCCTGTAATAGTAGTACTACTTTTCCATACGAACTAGTTTTGACTATGCATACAGCATGCTGCATACAACAGAAATGAAAACACTTATTCCAAGCAACGAACAGGGGTACAAGAGACAACATACTAACGACCACAATACGATTCTATCAACTGTACATTCCATGCATTTCCTTTACCTACCCTGCCCACCTACGAAGACACCTTCTCTAACAAGCATCAGCCAGCACTTGGACAATGCAAGCGAGCCTCCGAGAAACTGAGGAACCTTCAACCCTGTCAAATCCTGTGAGGAACCTTCGTTCCTGCCTAGCTGTCAAGGCTCTTTAGTGAACTGCACGAGATTTGCAGGAAGGGAGCGCATGGAGGTGTCATGGAGAATCAGATGGTGCAGCTGCGTGAGAAACGCTGGGAGCTGCTGCAAGGCGCTGCAGCTAATCAGCTGCATCTTGCGCAGCCGAGATAAGGACCTCATGCGGTGAGGTAGCGACACCAGCCGGGGTGCGTTGATACTCAATGAAGTCAGCGTGCGCAGCTCCAGTACGCTTCCTGGCAGCTTCCCTGGTGACCAAGAAAGAAGCTCCAGCTGCCGCAGTTGCGGAAATGCTGCCACCATGTCTTCCGGGAGGCTGCAGACTCCTGGCGCATCTATCAGCAAGCTGCGCAGGTGAGGGAGAAAGGTCAGCGGGACTGATAGCTCCCGACTGTCACCACCTAAACGCATCTCCAACTGCTCCAGCTGCTGCAGACACGGCAACCTGCCGCTGACTGCACGCCCGCATCGCACCCTGACATTATTCAGCTTCAGCACCTTCAGCTGCGACAGCTGGGAGATGTCCACCACATGAGAGAACAAGGGGCCCAAAACAAGAATCTCAAGAGAGGGGGGCAGACGAGCAGGCGGTCTCCTCATCTGCGTACACCCCGTCAGCTCCAGCCTCTTCAGCCCCACGAGCGTTTCCTTCCTTAAGGGTACATCTAAGAGATACCAGCAATCCCTAACCTCCAAGGTTTGAAGTCTCGGAAGCCGTACCAGAGAGCCAGGAAGCGTCCTGATTGAACACTCTATTATCTTCAGCTCCTGTAGGTTGCTCAGCTCTCCCAGGGCTTCTGGAAGCTCGACTAAGCGGCATACATTCAGCTCAAGGCTCGTGAGGGAAGTCAACTGGGTGAAGGAAGCTGGAAGGGGCTGGTTCTGGCACTTATGCAACCTGAGAGCCTCGAGACTTGCAAGGGTCCCAACGTCCTCTGGCAAGGGAAGGTTCCGGCTTGAGAATCTGAGCACCTTGAGAGCCGTGAGGCGGCAGAAGCCTTCTGGCAGCTGCTGAACATCATAGACAAAACATTTAACTAAAAAAAGTGCCTCGAGAGAGAGGAGATGGCAGAAGGAAGCAGGGAGTTCCCGGAGACACAATCGTTCCAGCACCAGCACTTTAAGGGCAGGGAGGTGACCGAAGTTGCTGGGTAAGGGAAATCGGCACATACAAAAGACGAGGGTTTCCAAACGGCTCAGAGAAACAAAGCTTTCAGGCAGGCAGGCAAGAGACTGGCAGTCGCGAATGGTCAGCTTGCGAAGGCACGGCAGCAAGTCTCCCATTCGGTCGGGAAGGGTCTCCAACCCACTGCAGTTGGTAATCAGCAGCTCCTCAAGCCCGATGAACGGCGATGCTAATGGAAAGATGATGTCCCACTCAGGACAGGAAACGAAAAACTTTAGCGATTTCAGAGGAGACGGCAGCGCCACGCTTGCAGCACCTGCCGGCTGATAATTCTGGTAATGGCCGAGGGTGGAGAAATGGGCGAGTCGTGGGAGGTGAAGGAGGCTGGACAAGTGCCAATGGTTCGTGGGAAAGGTGAGGTACAGGGTGGTAAGAGAAGTGAGGTTTGTAAAACCGGGGTTTCTGATGACTGCAGCGTCGGTGAGAAGAAGGGTGTGCAGACGCGTCAACTGAAAGACGGAATCTGGTAGCTTTGTTTCTTGGTCGAGGCAGAAGAGGGTAACTGCTCCAATTCGGGAAGCCTTTGAAAAAACCCATCCAAGCCCTCCGTAGTTATTGGATGCTCTTTCCTACGATAGTGCTTAACCTGGCTATCAAGGCCGAGGGGCAATTGACGCGCAAACCTCCTTCCCACATGGAGAGTTGTCAGCTTCGGGCATGACGAAGCTAGGTGAGCAAGGAAGGCGTCGTCGACGCACTCGACGCCGTTGCTGCTAAGATGCAGATGGGAGAGGTTGGGGAAGCGCGTGACCGCGACTGAGAGATCCTCTCGGGACACCGGAATGTCTCCTTTGACAGAGAGCGTGGTCTCGTGAAGCTTCATGACATCACGCCAACGATGGCAGACGGTAGCGAAACGGAGTTTCTGAGCGACGTCGGCGGCTGGAGGAGGGGCTGGTACGGGTGCCTTCATTAACATCAGATCTGCTTCGTCTCTAGGTTCATCAAGTGGTAAGAAACGGCGACTGGAGGTCCACAAGGTATTCATGAAGGACTCGCATGAAGCAAGTTGTTCGAAAGACCGCCTCAGGATCGTAAAGAGTAGGTCGTCTGGTAGACTATTGATGTTCGTAGGATCCATCTTAGAAGTTCGAACGATAAAGCTCTGGAATCAGCAGATGATGGGCTATGGAGCTGCAAGCAGTTAAAGAGTGCCTCTAAGAAGCGTAACGAGGAATAGGAAGTAACTCACGGGAAGAGTGGGAGTTAACGGAGTGGGTCCAGATCTGCTAGATAGTGTAGCACGTATGCGATCTGCAATAGAAGGGGAGGACAGACGACGCAAGGAAATGGAAGGATGGACAGCGTGTTCGAGATTAATACTGACGTCCTAAAAACGACACTGGGTTCGACAAGTGACACAGCAACAGCGCAAGAGAGATCTGCATGGAACGGTTGTGGCGTTAAAGTTTCACTCTGGCTGATCCGAGACGCCAGGGTCACTCCCTTGAATATTATCGGATCCAGTTCTGCCATCCCACGACGAGACTGGCTTTTCGATCCCCGTTTGGACGAAACACGGGCTATGATGGTAGCGACGACTACGGCATGAGAGCCAGGACGCAGGAGCTGCAAGCTTGATTCCTATTTCCTAGATTTTGCTTCCAGGCATTTGCTATACCACCAAAGCTCGTTATACCAGCATGGAAGGAAATGGAGGTACCAAGGTTTGAGATCTAACGGAAACTCGCAACCGCCCTAGGAGGACGGGAATCAACCTCGGCTCCCTCGAACTGATGACCGGCTTGTTTTCCATTCGTCCGCGAGGGCTTGCTACGAATTCAATTTCAAGGCCCAGCTCTTTCGCAGTGTACTCGAGCTCAGTGACGAAATCTGGTCTTGTAACCCTCTACACGAACGTGCAGGCACAATTCGTCGGAATTGGAGAGGTTGAATTGGAATTCAATCAGGTGCACGTTTCCCGATGCAGCTTTTCCAAGCATCTAGGTATTGCCATCTCATATTCCCATCCCATGTTCCTTGTTCCATCTTTCTGATTATAAAGACTTGCTCAGCAGTTACGCGATATAACTTAGAACCGTCTCACACGCGACGCGAGTAAGCGAGAGTGAAAAGGCGGCATTGCTCCTTTCCATTGTCCAAGACAAAGGCATCGTCATTTATGGGCTTCAGTAGTACCGCATCTACTCCACCCTTAGTAGCGGCACGGAAACCGCCGGGCGATAACCCTCAAGTACCTTGAGGCGCTTCTCTCGCCGCGCACTGATGCGACGAGCCGCGCACAGCTTCTCACAGGCAGCAGCAGACTTTCGCTCCGAATCCCGAGTTTTAAATAGCGAATCCTGGTTTGCTCTCACACGCCCGTAGTCTCCCCCTTTCGTCCTCTGGTCCTCGACGGTGACTTGATTCAGCGCACTCTGCCGGTCACGATCCACCTTGCTGCGGCTAGGTCAATCCCGGTGAACGGAGATCCGCATTTTCACTCATGTGATTCCTGCCACGAACGCCTTCGGGACGCCAGAATTCTCTTGATGGACGCGCGAAGAGACATTCGCGTCACGCGAGCGGCTGCACACATCCGACGGTCGGTCAGAGGAGATGTGCTGCCGAGCGGCTGCACGCACTGGCATATGCTGTTTAGGGCTTATTCTAGGCGCCTTTCCTCTGAGACGTCGGGAGATGTCTTGGGAGCCATGCTTATGCACTCTGTTCAGACGGTGAGTCAGAGGGTTGCAATGACGCGGGAACGCTGACGGTAAGCTGCAGCTTTTCGTTTCTCGTTGATCCCTGCATGGCGTCACAACAGCAAGCCGTTTTTTTGCCTCTGTTTAGAGGGTCCAGTCTACAACAACGGTCGACAAATTGGCTTTATGGGACACGATGGCATGATGCATGAAACCGAACGTTGCAATATGATGACACTGGACGGATCAGACGGTTATACAGGAAGATGCAGTTATCGCATGGTTCCCCGGACATCCTCGTGTCACCTATTACTCTGGCATGTTGACGTTTCTTGTGCCTCGCTAATTGGCTGCATCACATTTTTTCTCTCAGCGAGTACTGACGTACCTAGTAGCTCCTGTCCTCGTCTTTCCCCACTGATGTTTCCGCCTTCTCTCTCTCATTCCCGCCCCTCCGTCTCCCCTCCCCCCCTCCTTCCCTTTACCCCCCCCTTCCCTTGACCCCCCTTTCTTGCCCTCATCCTGCCTTGAATCGCTGCTTCTCTGGTCGCACCTCCCCACGACTCCAGCCAGAGATGGAGGCCAACAGCGCACATGGGGCGGTGGCAGGCAGGCAGGACGCGCGCTTCAAATGGCTGCTCACAACACAAGTGCCACTTCAGCTCAGCAATCACACGCCTGCTGCTCTTGTGGCTTCGGATGGATTTGCACTACGAATGGGGTGAGTGCAACTGTGTCAGTGGGGATGCGTTCAGGGTTACCGACGATGGGAGTGGTACTGTGGAAAGGATTGGTGTTGCCAAGATGAGGGCGGTGAGGGGTGGGTAAGTGTGTGAGAGAGTCAGTGAGGGGATTTTGTGGGGGTAGGGGTGTGCGTGAGAGAGTCACTCGTGGGAGCAGTGAAGAGGGCGTTGATGGGGGATGAAGGGGCGGTGAAGGGGCGGCTGGTGATGGGGCTGGCGGAGGTCATAGAGGATGCGTTGGGTTGGGTGTAACGGATGGGTGGCATGGGGCAGTTGAGAGTCGGTTGGGGGCGGGGCATATGCGTGTAGGAATTGTGGAGTCACCGCTGACGACGGTGGGAAGGGGGCAGTTGAATAGATAGCTGGATGTCGCTCAGGTGGGAGTTGCTGTGGGCGAGAGTGGCTGCGGGGTGGTTGTGAGAGTGAGTGGAGGGAGCTGATGGGCAGGCCTGGTGAGTTGAGAAGGTGGTTGCAGCCAAGGTGAGACTCATTCTCTCCCCTGCAGTTGCCTCCCCTTTCTTTTCCAAGTTCTGGTTCCCTCTTCCCATTCAGCCCCCATTCGCATCCTCCCCCCATCCCATCCATCCAGCGACGCATGTGTGAATCCCACATCAACGCCATGTGACTCTCTGATATCTACCCCTACCGCAGAAGCACTTTGCTCACCAAGTCACTACCCGTTCTCCTTCCCTTACCCATTTCCTTGACCTCTTACCCCTTTTCTTCCGTTTCCTTCCCCAGCTCTGCACCTGCTTCTCCATCATCAACTTACACACTCACACCCCTATGGCACGATCTCCCACATCCCTCCACCCTGCGTCCTTCTCATCAAGGCACGGCTGCTCTCCTTTCCCCACAACCCCCTTGAGAATATACAGACTTCTTGCCAACAGTTCGCGCCCATACGGCACTACCTCGGTCTCCCACGTCCCTCTCATAAGCCTCTGCTGATTTTCCTCCTTTCCGCTCCCCTCCCCTCCCTCCCCCCGCTCCGCAAAGGCTTCTCTTACACTACACCCACTTCTGGCCCACAGGCTCGGCCCTCCACAGTACTACGCACTGTTCACCAAGGCACCATCCCCATCCCTCCCAGCTCTGAACCTGCGTTTCCTACGCTAACGTCTGCCCTACAAATTTCTGCGTGCTGCTGCGGTGGCGGCGCACTTCTGACCCACGCACTGTCCCCTCCCCTTCCCATGCCCTCTCCTCGCCCCACTGTTCGCCTGCCAACCCCCCCAGCTCTGCACCTGTTGCTCCTAATCTGACGTCTGCTCCAGCGAGTCAACACACCTTACTGCTGATGTTCACAGGTACCGTTCAGTGCTGGCTGGGTGAAGAAGGTGCGTCAGTGGTGCAAGGGGCTAATCGTGGGTCACCAGTAGTTCACTACTGGGTCAGTGGCAGGTCACTCTCAGGTCACTCTCAGGTCACTCTCAGGTCACTCTCGAATCATTATTGTTCCCCCATCCCCTTCCCCTTACACTTTCCCATCCCCGTCCCTTTCTCCACTCCCATCCACTTCTCCATTCCCTCCCCCATCCCCTTCTCCACCAACGTCCCCCTCCCTATCCCCATCCTCATCCTCATTGCCATCCCCCACTTCCCAGGTGTGCATAGTGCAGCATTACCTCGATCGCATCATCCCATCACACTGTCACCCCATTATCCCATTACCCCATTCCGTGTCGACTACACCCCGTTGACCCATTTGCCCAAATCATTCCCACGATCTGGAGAATATCTGCCTAGTGCCAGTGGTCTAGTGGTCTAGTGGTCTAGTGGTCTATGCTGCAGCACTTCGTGACCGTCCAGACGTCAAACTGTTTCCCCTTGTCATCGAAACCTTCGGTTGCTTCGGCTCATCGTTCAACAATTTCCTTCGCCAATGCAGCCGCAAAGGGGCTTCACAACTCCGCGACTTGAGTGGTGCTACAGATTCTCTTCCCCTGCTGTTTGAGACCAACTTCTACAAACGGATTTCTCTGGTCCATCAACGTGAGCAGGCTCGCACTGTTTGTCGTCGTGCACAAATTCGTTTTACCGAGGGCGTCAACCACGCACCACCCGAGGTGACTTCTCTTTTTGCAGCTGACTTTGCCTACTTTGGAGAGGACCACTGAGACATCTTAGAGGCCTATTTGTAGGCCTCACAATAGGATTAGCCTGCATGTCTTTCCATACACTAGGTCTCTGGATTTGTCTTGTATCCATTGTACATTTACTTTAGTGTCAATAAAGAGGTAGAATAGCACCCTGCCAACAGCACGGTGCAGACCCGGGTTCAATTCCCGGCTGGCACACAGTGGTCTTTGTTTTTGCCGCAAACTGGTCCATCCCATCGGACGCCCAACAAAGCTCATGCCATCAACCGCTTGATAGCAGTCCCCCCGTGCATTGGCTTCGGTCCTCACTACAATGGTTGGTGTTAAATAGCTTTGGCAGGTCACTACCTGCCCTGCCCCTGCATGTGCCCACCTCCCGTGGTTGCATGAGGCACAAGCTACAAACCAGGAGCTAGGTAGGGAAAATTAGACTCATATTCGTGCATCTTCATGTTCCTCCCTTTTGAAGGGCCTCAGCGATTGAACCAAAGGTCCAGGAGACCCATACTTATGCACGTTCATGCACCTTGCTCCCTCCACCTACTCCCAACCAACCCCACTGCCCAACCCTCCCCACCTCTTTCACCGCAGCATGGCTGGGCGGTACAGCCTGCAGCTCCCTTCTCCCGCCCTTGCCCATACTCGTTCCGCCCTCCCTCCCCTGCATCACCCCACCCCTCCCACCGACCCACACCTTTCCAGCTCTCCCGCCCGTCATGGCAGGGCGCCACAGCATGCACCTCCCCCCTCCTCGCTTTCCCTCCCTCATTGCGTTCCTCATTGCGTCTTCCTCCTTCCCTACCCTCCATTCCCCTAGGCAAGTTGGGCATATGAAAGTCGTGCAAGTTCATATGGGGCAGGGCAGGCAGTGAGCTGACAAAGCTGTTGTCACCAGCTATTGCAGTGAGGGCCAGAGCCAAAGCACGGGCATGGTGGGGGGATGATGGGACGTTGGGTGATGGTGTGATGAGAACATGGTGTGATGGCGTGATGAGAACATGGTGTGATGGCGTGATGAGAACATGGTGTGATGGTGTGATGAGAACATGGTGGGATGGTGTGATGAGAACATGGTGGGATGGTGTGATGAGAACATGGTGGGATGGTGTGATGAGAACATGGTGGGATGGTGTGATGAGAACATGGTGGGATGGTGTGATGAGAACATGGTGGGATGGTGTGATGAGAACATGGTGGGATGGTGTGATGAGAACATGGTGGGATGGTGTGATGAGAACATGGTGTGATGGTGTGATGGGAACATGGTGTGATGGTGTGATGAGAACATGGTGGGATGGTGTGATGAGAACATGGTGGGATGGTGTGATGAGAACATTGTGGGATGGTGTGATGAGAACATGGTGAGATGGTGTGATGAGAACATGGTGGGATGGTGTGATGAGAACATGGTGGGATGGTGTGATGAGAACATGGTGGGATGGTGTGATGAGAACATGGTGGGATGGTGTGATGAGAACATGGTGGGATGGTGTGATGAGAACATGGTGGGATGGTGTGATGAGAACATGGTGTGATGGTGTGATGGGAACATGGTGTGATGGTGTGATGAGAACATGGTGGGATGGTGTGATGAGAACATGGTGTGATGGTGTGATGAGAACATGGTGGGATGGTGTGATGAGAACATGGTGGGATGGTGTGATGAGAACATGGTGGGATGGTGTGATGAGAACATGGTGGGATGGTGTGATGAGAACATGGTGGGATGGTGTGATGAGAACATGGTGGGATGGTGTGATGAGAACATGGTGGGATGGTGTGATGAAAACATGGTGGGATGGTGTGATGAGAACATGGTGAGATGGTGTGAAGAGAACATGGTGGGATGGTGTGATGAGAACATGGTGGGATGGTGTGATGAGAACATGGTGGGATGGTGTGATGAGAACATGGTGGGATGGTGTGATGAGAACATGGTGTGATGGTGTGATGAGAACATGGTGTGATGGTGTGATGAGAACATGGTGGGATGGTGTGATGAGAACATGGTGGGATGGTGTGATGAGAACATGGTGGGATGGTGTGATGAGAACATGGTGGGATGGTGTGATGAGAACATGGTGGGATGGTGTGATGAGAACATGGTGGGATGGTGTGATGAGAACATGGTGGGATGGTGTGATGAGAACATGGTGGGATGGTGTGATGAGAACATGGTGGGATGGTGTGATGAGAACATGGTGGGATGGTGTGATGAGAACATGGTGGGATGGTGTGATGAGAACATGGTGGGATGGTGTGATGAGAACATGGTGGGATGGTGTGATGAGAACATGGTGGGATGGTGTGATGAGAACATGGTGGGATGGTGTGATGAGAACATGGTGGGATGGTGTGATGAGAACATGGTGGGATGGTGTGATGAGAACATGGTGGGATGGTGTGATGAGAACATGGTGGGATGGTGTGATGAGAACATGGTGGGATGGTGTGATGAGAACATGGTGGGATGGTGTGATGAGAACATGGTGGGATGGTGTGATGAGAACATGGTGGGATGGTGTGATGAGATCATGGGATCGTCTCCTCCACATTGAGAGGGACGCAAGAGACGTTTCAGTGGAAGTGGTGGCGAGACAGGTGGCAAATGAGATCACAGATAGGATGCGGTAGAGGCAGGTTTGTCACAAGGCACTACTCACCTCAGTGCATAGATGAGTGATAATTGATCGTGTGAGTGCAAAAACGGCAAGGGAATGGATTCATGTTACTGGTTGGACTATGCACATCTGAGGGGGGACTGAGGTGGAAGATGGCCAGAGGGAGAGAGATGGAAAGATTCAGTGTCTTGTGTGAGGGATTGGCGGATTGGATCTGAGTGCTGAACGCTACCAGCTGCACTAATGAGTCAACTCAAAAGTCACTAATGAGTCGACTCAATGAGTCGACTCAAAAGTCTATGAGTCGAATCAAAAGAGATGGAAAGATTCAGTGTCTTGTGTGAGGGATTGGCGGATTGGATCTGAGTGCTGAACGCTACCAGCTGCACTACACACACCTGCGGAAGTAGCCAGGGTGGTGGAATCAGACACAGCGTATTCAGGCACATGGACTTTTCTCAGGCCCGGGGGAATTTACGAGCAGAAATTTCAGAACAGGAAATCAAGGCACAGAATTGGCAGGCACAGAGAATGTAGACACCTGCACAAAAATATCAGGCTCAGGAATTTCAGGCACAGGGCATTCAGGCACAGAAAAGCCAGGCACAAGGATTGATGCTCAGGAAGTTGAGTAACAGGGATTCAGAAGGAACAAGGAATACAGGAATCAGGCACATAAACTCCAGGCACGGTGAATTCAGGCACACGGCATTCAGGCACATGGGATTCAGGCACATGGGATTCAAGCACATGGCATTCAGTCACATGGCATTCAGGCACATGGGATTCAGTCACATGGGATTCCGACACATGGCATTCAGGCACATGGGATTCAGGCACATGGCATTCAAGCACATGGGATTCAGACACATGGGATTTAGACACATGGGATTCAGGCACATGGGATTCAGACACATGGGATTCAGGCACATGGATTCAGGCACAAGGCATTCAGGCACATGCGATTTAGGCACATGGGATTCCGGCACATGAGATTCAGACACATGGCATTCAGGCACATGGGATTCAGGCACATGGCATTCAGGCACAGGATATTCAGGCACACCAAGTTGAGGCACAAGGAATTCAGCACAACGAATTCCTGCACAGCATATTCAGGCACACAGATATAGACACAGGGAATTCACGTAAAGGGAATCAATAGATTTTATATTCAGGCACATGCAATACAGGAACGGAAATTTTTAGGCACAAGCAATTTGGGCACAAGGATTTTAGGCTGAGGGAATTCAGGCACAGGGCATTCGGGCACAAGGGATTCAGGTAAAGAGAGATAAGGCACCGAAAATACAGGCACAGAAGCTTCAGGCACAAGGGAATCAGGCACAAGGAAATCAGGCGGGGAATTGAGGTACAGGAAGTTAAACCACAAGGCCTTAAGGAACAGAGAAATTAGGCACAAAACATGCGGCCTCAAGGCATTCAGGTTCAGGGAATTCAGGCACTGATGCTTCAGGCTTAGGGCGTTCTGGCACAAGAAATATGGGGCAGAGGGAGTTCACACACTAGGGATTCAGGCATGGGCTGTTCAGGCGCAGAAAACCCAGACACAGGGCACAGGAGATTCAAGCACAGGCACCACACATTCAGCCTCATGGCATTCAGGCACCACACATTCAGCCTCATGGCATTCAGGCACCACACATTCAGCCTCATAGCATTCAGGCAACACATTCAGCCTCATGGCATTCAGGCACCACATTCAGCCTCATGGCATTTAGGCACCACACATTCAGACTCATGGCATTCAGGAACCACTCATTCAGCCTCGTTGCACACATTCAGCCTCATGGCATTCAGGCACCACACATTCAGCCTCATGGCATTCAGGCACCACACATTCAGACTCATGGCATTTAGGAACCACTCATTCAGCCTCATTGCACACATTCAGCCTCATGGCATTCAGGCACCACACATTCAGCCTCATGGCATTCAGGCACCATACATTCAGCCTCGTGGCATTCAGTTCAGGCACCACACATTCAGCCTCATGGCATTCAGGCACCACACATAATCGTGATCGTGAGGCGCTTGTTCTCATTCTGGCAACATGTTGACAGACTTGCGGAAGTGGGTTGGACCATTTATGCTACCAGTAACAATCCCAGACTTTTGCTGCTTTCCCACTCCAATTAGTTTGACTATGCACAGTGCATACAACGGAAGTGAAGTCACATCTTTAACAAATCAAGACAAGAGAAACTATCAAACAAAGAACACAACAAGATTCGACAAACTGTACTGTCCATGCATCTTCTTCATCTACCCTCGTACCAGCTTCACTGGTGCAGGCCCCCCGTCAACAACCACCATCTCTAACAAGAATCAGTCAGCACTGAGACATTGGATTGGAAGCAACCTTCGAGATCCGGTACGGCAGCGCCTACAACCAGCCCAGCTGTAAAAAGGCAGCCTGACTGTCAAGGCTGCTGCTAACTATGAAGCTGCACAAGATTCGCAGGAAGGGAGTGGATGGAGGTGTCATGGAGTACCAGCTGGTGCAGCTGGGTGAGAAACTCCGGGAGGTGAAGCCAGGCGTTGCAGCGAATCAGCTTTAGTATGCGCAGCCGAACCAAGCTGCTCATGCCCTGAGGCAGCGCCAGAAGCCGAGGTGCTTCTACCGTGAGTGACGCCAGCGTTCGCAGCTCCAGAATGCTTCCTGGCAGCTCCTTCGGTGACCAAGAAAGCAGCTCCAACTGCCGCAGCTGCGGCAACGCTGCAGCCATGTTGAATGGGAGGCTGCAAACTCCAGGCGCCTGTATCAGCAAGCTGCGCAGGCGTGGGAGACACATCAAATTCAGGGGGAGTGGGAGCTCCCGGGTGTCACCTCCCAACCGCATCTCCAGCTGCTGCAGACATGACAACCTGCTGATCTGTGCAGGCCTGCATCGCACCCCAACGCAGTTCAGCTTCAGCACCCTCAGCTGCGACAATTCAGAGATGTCCACTAAATGAGAAGCACCTTTTTTGAAGGGCCCCAAGCAGAGGGTTTCAAGAGAGGGTGGCAAACCAGCAAGAGGTTCACTCAGCTGCTCACAATCCGTCACCTCCAGCCTCTTAAGCCCCACGAACGCATTTAGCGTGGATGGTATTTCATGAAAAAGCATTGAGAGCCAACTGCAACCTCTGATCTCCAACCTTTGAAGTCTTGTAAGCTGTGTCAGCGAGCTAGGCAGCGTGCTCATTGCAAAACTAACAACCTTCAATTCCCGTAGGTTGCTCAGCTTTCCCAAGTCTTCCGGAAGATCGCCTTCATCGTGTGGGTTACCCAGCTCAAGGCTGGTCAAGGAAGACAGCTCAGTGTAGGATTCTGGAAGAAAGAACAGGTACCAGAATCCATCCAGCCTGAGAGCCTCCAGACTTGCAAGGGCCCCAATGTCCTCTGGCAAGGCATGATATTCATGCACTCTTGACAAGCACAGCGTCTGGAGAGCTGTGAGGCGGCAGAAACCTTCTGGAAGCTGCTCAAGATCAGTGCAGTTGATTATAGAGAGTGTCTCGAGAGACGAGAGGTGGCAGAAGGAAGGAGGGAGTTCGGTGATACTCAAACCCTCCAGCACCAACAGTTTGAGGGCAGGCAGGTGGCCGAAGTTGCTGTGTAAGGTAAATGTGCTGCTCGGATTAAAAATGATAAGGCTTTCCAAAAGGATCAGAGACGTGAGGCTTTCAGGCAGGTGAGTGAAATCATTGCACTTGTAAATGGTGATCTTGCGAAGGCACGGCATCAAGTCTCCTATGTGATCAGGAAGGCTCTCCAGCTTGCCACAGTTAGAGATGAACAGCTCCTCTAGCCTGGTGAACGGCGATGCTGATGGGAAGATGGTCTTAAAACCACTATGAGAAATGAAGATTTTGAGCGATTTCAGAAAAGGCGGCAGCGTCACGCGTGCAACCTCCGCTGGTTCATGATATTGGTAAACCAGGATGGAGAGATGGGCGAGTCGTGGGAGGAGGAGGAGGCTGTCCATGCACATAATGTCGTCACTGTCGCAGCTCATGTACAGGGTGGTAAGGGCAGTCAGGTTGGTGAAACAGGGGTTTTCCATGGCTGAAACGTCGGTGAGAAGAAGGGTGTGCAGACGTGTCAACTGAAATAATGAATCCGGTAACTTTGGTTTCTCGAGGCAGTAGAGGGTAAGCTGCTCCAATCCAGGAAGCTTCTGAAAGAACCAATCCAACCCCTCCGTGGTTATCGGATGCTCCTTTCTACCATAATGCTTGACCTCGTAGCCGAAAAATTGCCATGCTAACCTTCCCACGTGGAGGGTCGTCAGCTTCGGGCATGACGACGCGAGGTGAGAGAGGAAGGCGTCGTCAAGCGAGTCGACGCTGTTGTCGCTGAGATGCAGATGGGTGAGGTTGGCGAAGCACGCCACGGCGGCTGAGAGATCTTCAAGGGACATCAGGAGGTCTTGTTTAACGAACAGCGTGGTCACGCGAAGCTTCGCCACACGGCGCCACCGACGGCAGACGGACGCGATGAAGAGATTCCGAGCCATGTCGGCGGCGGGAGGAGGGGCCGGTACCACGTCTGGGAACCAAAATGTCCATTGCGGCGTGACTGTATCAAGGATGACACGTGGCCAGTGTGGCCAAACGTCAGTGTCCAAGTTGTCCAGTTGCGATTCGCGTGAAGCCGGTTGTTTTAAGGAGCGCGTAAGGATCTTAAAGAGAAGATCGTCGGGAAGACTATGGATCGTCCGGAACTCCATGAGGGGAATCCGAGACACTAGGGACGCCGGAAGACGTGCTAGGTTTTGCATGCGCTAGAGAACCTGGCTTAAAAAAAACGTCTCGAGGAAAAACAGCGATTTCGAGAGAATGGTGGTAGTAAACAGTAGCTTACCATGCTCGGCATACCTAGAGAGCATCAACTGGAATGAGCGGGGTGCTGAAAACCAAGCGACCGGCTGCGCGTGGCGTGGACGGACACTGGCGAGAAGGTGAGTGCCTAGAAGCGAAAGATCTGCAGCGACATCGCGCACCGTGGACTGCCATGCACTACTGGTTCCATCGAGATAAGGTTTAGGTTCAAACTGAAGCAGGTTGGAGGGTGGTTGGTGCCTGAAACACGTGAGGGAGGTGGGAGGGATGAAAAGATACGCACATAGGGGGGTAAGATGGAAGGAATGAGGGCGTGTTCGGTGAATAATGAAAACCTGCCAGCCTCTGGGCAACGTATGCGGCTGGCGCGTTTTGGAATCCAAGGCGGGAAAGTTCAGCCTCGGCTCATTCGAACTGATCCACCAGATTCGCTAAGCTTCGCTGGTATTCGATTTCCGGTAACATGTGCATCTGCACTGGTCCCGTGACGAAGTGAAGGTTTTGTAACCGTCTACGAGATCGTCGTCGCTGCTCGTGCAGGCAAACACGTCCTGTCGCGAATGTTGAAATGGAAAGGGTTCGATTGCGAGTGCATTGATTTCATGACTGCCATAGCCATTTTGGATGGAAATATGGGAATTGCGATCACCTGATTCCATCCATGGCGAGGCCTAGATCCACCTGCATCCACCTTATCAAGCTCCAGTTCAGCAGAAACCGTCAATGCGTTCGTAAAGTCTGCGCTCGACGAGAAATACTTCAGCAGTAAATAGAGTGATGGCGGCATTTATTTTTTAACGAGTTTTGAGCCGTTTAAAATGTCAAAGAGCCAGATATCAGCATCTAGGCTTCGTGTGGCGCATCAGACACACTCCGCCACTAGCGCCACGGAAGCCAAGGCGATTACCGTCAGATTGAAGCGCTGTGGGGTACCTTGTGGCGTTTCTTCCGTTGCGCAGCGATGCGTTGCGATGCGATTGGGACGCTCACAGATGTTCGCACACAGCAGCAAAGTCGCTCGCGACTCATGCTGCTATTCTCATGCTGCTATTCTCTCATGCTGCTATTCTCCTCTCCTGCCTCACCACCACGGTCACCATCTCTGCCGCCAACCAAACCTGGCTGCTGCTGCTGAAGATACAGCCCGCGCCCCACACCCACGCCTGTTTGAAGGTAGGGAGTCTGTCACAGAATCTATTGGTAAGAACAATATATTCAGTGACATGCTTGTTTGGTGGAGGCGAATCCATGTCAGGCACTGTAGAGGGAATTATTAGATGTACTGTAGCGAAAGGGAGTTGGGTTCAAGGGAGTGACACGAAGTTGGTAGCAATGGGAATTGCGAAGTACAGTGGGGAGAGCTCAAGGGCCTCGAGGGACAGGGAATCAGCATCGACCAATCCAAGGCCAGGGCAGTTCGAAGCCAACCCAGTCCGTCGAAGACAGGCACAACTCGGGACAGGGCAATAAGTAGCCTAGCCTAGTGCCAACCAAGCTGTTCTTTCGTTTGTTTCCTCACTATAGTGGAATTACTTCACCGATCTAAGGCTACTGCAGCTAGGTGATACGCCACTGAGGGCAGCCATCTTGTGGTAGTGGCTGAGAACGCAGAAGGGAAATAGGAGCAGGGACAAGAGGGAAGTAAGGTTGAGAAGGAAAAAGCAACAGGAGTGAAGGGACAGGAACAGATAACACAGGAGTTCTCCGACAAGTCTCCCCTTTGCCGTTGTAGGGATTGGTAAGTCACCGCTTCTCCCTCTCTTCCCTCTCCTGCTCGCACCACCACTTGCCCTCGGGTTGCTGCTATTGTGGGAGTGCGTGAGGGCAGTATGCCTCCATCCCAACCACACACACCCCCTCAGCTCTTCCAGCGCATCATTCCAGAGCGCTACAGTGTGCAGCATGCCTTCACCGTAACCACAGACGCCCCCTCACCTCTTCCAGCACGTTATGGCAGAGCGCTAAAGTGTGCAGCTCTCCGTGCCCTTTCTTGCTCTCCCATGCTCATTGCTTCTTCTTCGTCCGCCATCCCCCCCACAACTCCCTCGCCTCTTCAAGCCCAGCGTGGCAGAGCGCTACAGTGTGTGCTTCCGTGATTTTTGCTGTATAAATACGACCCGTCGGTTTCACAGCCTTGCCAGGCTGAAGCGCCTACAGGCTCAACCAAACAGGCAGGCGGCGAGCAGCCTTCAGATGCCTGTTCAGAGCCTCAACTTGCCTGCCTGTTTGGTTGAGGCTCTAGTCTATGGAATTAACAGCAGGTGCCGTGGTAGCAGCAGGTGCTGAGACTGTAAAGCTTGAACGTACAAGTTATCGCCTTTCAGGTCATGGGATTGCGGAGTGTCGCGCCAAGTGAGCTTTTCTCACTAGTGATATCAAGTCAGAACGAAATTCCTCTCTTCTCTTTTATTCCCATCTCTTCTCTTCTCCTATCCCTTCTTCGCTTTTTCTTCACTGACCTCCTCCCGCACCCACTGTATACCCCTCCATTCCCCCTCTGTTCTACTTCTGTTTGCCCGTCCTTCCTCCTTCCTCTCCACCTCCTCCTTTCCTCACTCCTCCTTACTCTCCTCTGTCCCCTGTCCCGCACTACCATTGGTCTCTTCAAGAGCAAATGCAGTACAATCAGCATGTGCTATTTCAACGCCACACTGCAAGCCCTCGCCTTAATCCCGCCCTTCCCCATACCACTCCTCTCTTACGCTCCTCCTTCCTCCGCCTAGCCATCACCACTACATTCAGCGGCTGACGTGGCAGCCGCTGGGCCTGCCACGTGGCGTGGCACAGCAATGGGTGACGTGGCTGATACAAGTGCTGTTAAATGGGCAGTGGGGCGAAGTCCTCCCCCTCGCTCATTCAACCATCTCGTCCCTCCCCTCCTCATACCCCCTATCTTGCCTCCCCCCTCCTCAAGCCCCCCATCTCGCCCCTCTCCCCCTCATGCCTCCCATCTCATCCGCCCTTTGATCTGCCCCCATCAGCATACCCACGAATTCCTCTGCACGAGGACTGGGGACGGGAGTGGGCCCGCAGTGGGCAGTTTCCTGACAACAATTGGGGTGGTGAGGTAGTGTGAGGGGTGTGGAGTGAGAGAGACCGGTGAGGAGGAGTTTCTTTGCCTCTCACTCCCCATCCCCTCTTCCTACCCAGCGTGTCGTGTCCTGCACCTCACTCTATCTCTGCTGGACCTGCAGCTCCTCCTGCTCGTGTTGGCACATCTGCTGCTCGTGTTGGCTCATCTCCTGCTCGTGTTGGCACATCTGCTGCTCGTGTTGGCTCATCTCCTGCTCGTGTTGGCCCATCTGCTGCTGCACGCAGTATGACTGAGTCCAATGGTGCTGCGGCTGGCCGTGGTGCTGGCGCCTATCTGACTCACCATCCGCTCTCAGCCCTGCTGCACCACTTTTTCAGGTACATGCTACTTCCTACCGTGTGCAACCCAGCTGGTTGTATCCACGAGCTTTCTAATACGATACGCACCAGGTAACAATGGTTTCACTTTCTTGAGTTACCTCTGGTTCTATTCCCTTCCCAGTCACCATTCCTTCTCTTATGCCTCTTCCCTTCCTTCGCCTCTGTCTCCTGCATGAGACAGGGCGTGCACCCACTGTCACTGCTCTGCACCGTACCGCATCTCCCGAGCCTTCTCGCATCCTTGGCCTCCACCTCAATCGAACCCATACCACCTTTCGGCTCACTCCATGCCTCGAGAACTCTACCCCACGTGCAGCTTACACCCTCCCTTGCACAACGCACAACGCTCAACGCTGAACGCGCAGCATTACTATACCGCCGTCTCTGTCGTGTGAACCACCTCACCACCCAGCCAGCCCCCTTCCCTGCTGCTCCGCCTCTGCCGCTCCGTTTTTTTATTGTTTGGTTGGACGCAGCCCGATGATGGTGCTGTGGTCAGAAGCATGAGCTGCTCTGCTAATGTTGCCTGCACCACGCCATAATTCCTCACTATTTCTTGCATGCACTTCTGAGTCCTAACAACCATTCCATTCACATCACACTACATGCCTCTTCATGAACGGAACTTCTCTCTCTCCAGATGCGCAGGTACCAGAGGCTGCTGTTTTAGCTTCTCAATCCCAGGAAGAAGCTTACATACATTACATGCACACAGCATGACCAGATACAAAATTGTGCAATTCTGTACACTGTACAAAAATCTTATGTATACCATAGCCTCTGTATTCAAAAGCCCAAGCTTTGTCATACAGCTATCCAGTGATTTGGACTAGGGTTGCAGGTGTATCTTCTGAAGTATACCAAAGTCCAGTGAACCACACGAGAGCCATTTGTGCATGGTTCTCCCATATGAAAATAATGATACCGTATGTAGTTCCTCTCTTGCTGAATCAGTTCAAGCGTTGCAAACGAAACCAGCTTCTGAACTGTAGTCCCGTATAGCGAAGTTTGGAGCTCAAATACTTCTTCGGTCAGTCGGAATGTTCTGAGAATTGTACAGAAAATGGACATTCATTTCCGCTACCCGGGACTGGAAGTTACAATCTAGGTTCGGACGCAGGTCCGTTGATTTGTGACGTTCCAAAAGATAATTGAACAATCAAACCCCCCGTAATTGGAAACGAATACTCGATTACCCTCAAATGTTTGAGTCCGTAGGGAATGCAGCAGTCGAATTAACCAGCCATCCCGCCTTCCTGATTCACCCCATGCAAACCAGCGAGAGCAACGGAGGAAATGGCGGGATTGTGTTGTGAGTGATACGATCAGACAGCAAAGCCGAAGAAGTCGGAGAGCAACGGCAAGACCTAATAAGCAGAGAGCACAGAAGAGAGGCATCAAGCGAGAGATTAGAACAACATCAGCAAGATATGGTAGCTGCCACCATCTATTACATTTCGTGGAGTTATTATTCCTACCATCATCGAAGCAAGCGCACTTGCTTTCCTACTCCATTTCCCTGAGGTAGTATTATGGCGCGTTCGCACGTGAATAGCCTTCCTGACGAGCTACTTGTTGCCATCTTCTGGCCCTCAAAGCGATTTTTCTCTCGCCAGCCCTTCGATGAGGTTGTATGGGCCACCGTGCGGCCTCCCCCGAGGTTCATTCGCGAAGATCCAGACGAGGCATGTTACCAGCAGAGCGACACCATGTTTCCAGCTCCTCCTCTTCCTCCAGCATTCGCCGACGCCGCGTACAATCTCCTCCTCGCGTCGATCTGCCGCCGCTGGCGTCGCCTGGCGCAGCGCCACGTGTCCACGCTCCTCGTCAAGAAGGACCGCGCCGTTTCCCGCGACGATCTCGCCGCAGCGGTCGCGTGCTTCCCGCACCTCACGCACCTGCACCTCAGCGACGGCAGCGCACAGCCCATCGACGACGCCTTCCTCGCCCACCTCCCGGCGTGCTGTCCGAAGCTGACGGCGTTCCACCTGGGGAGTTACATCGTGCCGCAGGGGAGCGAGTACGACTCACCTGGAGAGTACGACCCGGCGGGGAAGGCCTTGGTCACGCCGGCCGGCTTCGACGCGTTCTTCCGCGGCTGCACGCAGCTGGAGCACCTCTCGCTGGGCTGCCTGCATGCCAATTTCGGGTTACCACCTTCGCTCTTCCAGCTCGCGCATCTGCGGTCTCTCGCGGTCGCCGATCTGTCGTCGATATTGACAACAGACGTCGAGAAGTTCACCTCTCTCACGGCGCTCGCGATTAACACGGAGGTGTGGGACTTCCACGATCTCGAGAACCTCGCGCTCCTGCCGCGCCTCGCGTCTCTCTCCATAACGGAAGAAATCTCTTCCTCCCAAGCCACCTCGCGCTCTCCTCCCTTCTCCTTCCCACGCCTACCGTCGCTCACGTCGCTGGATCTAGGCTTTAGCCCCTGCCCACCGTTCGATCGGATGTTCCCTGCAGAGTCCCCGTGCAGCATGATCGAGCGGCTGTCGCTGTACCAATGCGGCGAGCTTCACACCCTCCCGGACGACATGGGCGAGCGCCTGCCGCGCCTGCGCGAGCTGAGCATCACCATGTGCAACGCTTTGCTAGAGCAGCCCGATCAGGTCACCTCGCTCACATCCCTGCGCTCCTTAAACCTCGCCGAGTGCGCGTTCCGCGGCCTTCCGGACCGCTTCGGCCACCTGCCTTGTCTCACGTCGCTCGTGCTGCACAAGCTGAACATCCACTTCCCCGCCTCGTTCAGCCTCCTGCACTCCCTCGAGACTCTGGTCATCACCGACTGCGCGACCCTAGCCGAGCTGCCTGCCGGGCTCGGCGCCCTCACAGCGCTCAAGCGCCTGTGCGTGGCGGAGTGCCCCTCCGTGGTTCTGCCAGGCGACGTGGGCCAGCTCACCAGCCTGCACACGCTCTTCCTCAAATCCTGCACGGCGCCCCGTCTGCTGCCGCCCTCCTTCACGCAGCTGGCTTCACTCGCACGCCTGGAGCTCGGCCCTTGTATCGGTGGTTTTAACTTTTTAGGGATAAATGGGAGACCTAGTTATTACGGTAATAGAGTGACAGCAGCAGTGAATGGATACATCAGATCTGACATCCTGCTTCATTACTGGCAGCACACACATTCTTATAGAGTTCTGGTCTGGTGGGGATGTTTTGTGTACGATTGGAAGCTGTAGCTTTATCCAATAACCACTCATACCTACGTAACATGAGCAAGAGTGCCCTTTCGAGTTGTGTGTATTTTTTCTCAGGCACACCAGATTCTAGCATCTGAATGCATGTGCATGTACTGCATTATACAAAGAAGAACATGCATGTTTCTTCATGAAATAGAGAGGTGGTAATGGCAGTTGCTGGCTCCTGCAGGATAGAGGGTTCAGAGGGATTGAAGAGAGTTTTGCGAGGAGTGAAGGGGTAAAGGTATGCGGGCATGGAACAGTTTTCAGGAAGTGAATTCAAGCATGGTGTGGTGTGGGAAAGGATAGAGAGTGGTGCAGACGGCGGCCAACTCAAGAAAAACTTGCTTGTGCACCAGGATGGCCCGCAAAGCGAGGGTTCTCTTGAGCGAGGGTTCTCTTGCACATCCCTCCTCAAACCCCGCCAACCACGGGACACCCAGCAGCCTCGCCATCTTTGCCTGCAGCCTCTCGTGCACCTCCGCCACATCAGCAGCCGCTAGCGGGCTGCTGTAGGGGTGAAGAGAGCGCTCGTGCCGTGGACGTGGGAGTCGGTGGAGCAGGAACTTGGTGTGGGAGGAGGTGCAGAGCTGGGAGCGGGGGAGGGGGGGGGAGAAAAGGGGAGAGGGGGGAAAGGGTAAGCACCACAAGGGCTTATAAGGGGACGTGGGAGACAGTGCCGTAGCAAGCCGAAGTCTGTGGGCCAAAGTTTGGTGTAAGAGAAGCAGGTGCGGGGCGGAGCTGGTGGTATGAGGGGTGGAGGGGGAAGACAAAGGGGGTAATGGGTGTTGAAGGGAAGGTGCGTTGCAGCCTTGGCGAGGGGAGCACACTGCACAGATTCCCCCGCATGCCAACTGAGGCACCAATCCAGGACTTGGGAATAGTGAGCAGCCTCAGCAGCCTGCAGGTTCCCCGTGGTCAGTGCGCCCATGTTGCATGGACGCGAGTCTGCGCAGGAAGACGTGGGAGGGAAGGGTTGGGGGGGAGGTGGGACGGGGAAGGTGCAGGCAGAGCCTGGGTGAGCTGAGCAGTGCAGAGCCACAATAGCGGCAGGGATCCGTGGGGACAAGTAGGCGTGGTGCAGAGCTGAGGGGGTTTGGGAAAGCAGGAGGGGAGGAGGACAAGCGGCAGCGGCTCATGAGAGGGATGGAGACACCATCCCGTGGGGGTGCGAACCTGTGGGCCGGAAGGCGGTATACGAGAAGAACATGCGGAGCTGGGGGTTAAAAGGGGGAAAAGGAGGAGAGCAGAGGCGTAGATGAGATGGATGCGGGGAGGAGGGATGCGGGAGACAAGTGCCGTAGTGGCGCGAGTGTATGAGTTGGTGTGGGAGAAGCAGGTGATTATGGGAGGGGGAAGGGGGGGGGGGAAGGAGGGGAACAGTGCATTGATGAGACGAGTGAATCTGTGGGTCCGTGATGGGGAAGCATCGCAGCTGAAGAGGGGCGAAGGGGGAGACGGGGGTAAAGAGGTCAAGGGGATGGGAAGAGGATACCAGGAATGAATTCAATGAATCTCAACTTGGCTGCAACCACCTTCTCAACTCACCTGGCTTGCCTGTCACGTCCCTACACTCACTCACAGCCATCCCCCAGCCACTTGCAGCGACTCCGCACCAACTCCCCAGCCGATCGGCAGCACATCATCATCCGACCGACGCAAAACGTGATTCGCCAGAACAGGCCGTCACGAACACTTCTCATGACGTCCCATATGAAGGCCTGCGGCCGACCCGCTGGTAAGCGAAATAGTACAGGCCGTAACCCATGGGTGCAACTGCGGATCCAACGTTCATCGGGATGAATCTCAACCGCAGTTCCACCCATGGGTTACGGAAGAAGCGGAAAGCGGGAGACTGGGGCGTGTGAAAAGAAACCTTATTTTCGGGATTCGGAATTTGAAGATCGGGAAAAGCTCTGCTGCTTTTGTCTGCGGAAAGTTCTCCGCGGCCCGTCGCAGCGCTGCGCGGCGACATCGCCGGTTCACGCTGCTCGAGGGTAATCGTCCCCGGAGCTTCCATGCCGCTATTAGAACGAGCGGAATGTAGCCGATGCGCTACTGCAGAAGCCCATCGATGACATTCTCTTGAGAGAATGGCAGTATCACTCGCGTCGCGAGCGAATGAATGTTACTGAGATGGTTCTCAAGTTTGTCGCACGGACGAGTCCCTCAGCGTGAAATGACCTGCAGAATGTCTTTTCGTAACCACCCTAATTAACCTCTCTCAACCCAACCCAACCGTTGCTCAACAAGAAAAGAGTTTTGAACATCCAACTTTCGAACCTCCCCCCATTCCGTCCCTACCGTCCCTACCCTTCCCTGCTCCTCTCATTCATTCCTTCATCAGGAACCGTTGTGCTTCTATCAGAACCGTTCCGAACCGTTGCGCTACCCACCAACCAACCTCCAGCTTCCCCAATTCGGGCAATTGCTGCTGGGGGTGCTCAATTCAACAAGTCTCAGATTCAAATTCACGAGCACATTAGAGCCATGGAAACAGGCCATTTCTGTACCATGGTATTTGTGTCCTAAGTATTCCTTGTTTAGTATTTCCTTCTCTCAAGTGACATACCAGCGTAGCCGCAGCAATGGAGTCGGTGGCGCACATTCACGATCTCCCTGATGATGTCCTTGTTAGGATCCTCTGGCGTTCCCAGCCGCCTAAATCTCACATATACGACAGCGATGTTTTGTGGAAAAACTTATGGCTTCATCCAGAGTACCTCCGTGCGGATATGGTTCCAAAAGAGATCCTTGACCAGAGAATGACCAAGCTGCCGACTCCCCCTACCTCCTCAGACGCCGCTTATAATCTCCTCGTTGCGTCGATCTGCCGTCGCTGGCGACGCCTCGCTCAAACTCATGTCTCATCGCTCTGCGTCAAGTGGGGCCGCGTCGTTTCTCGCGAGGATGTGCTCAACGCGGTCGCGTGCTTCCCAAAGCTGACGTGTCTTTATCTGAGCGATGACAGCGTGGACACTCTCGACGACCTCTTCCTTGCCTGGCTCGCCGCCTCTTGCCGGCATCTTACAGGATTCCACGTGGGGGAGTCGATATCACAGGATAAGGATCCAAATTGGAGGGAGGCTGGTGAGCGTCTGTTAACCGAAGCAGGCCTGAATCGTTTCTTCCGTCTCTGCACTGGGTTGGAGGAGCTGTCGCTATGTTGTTTCCGTGAAGCTGACAAACTACCAGCCTCTCTGTTCAAGTTACCACACCTGCGCGTCCTTCTCCTCAACACTGCAGTCGTTCTACAGCATCCGGATCTGAAGAGATTGTCGTCACTTACCGCTCTCTCTATCGAAACCCATTGCGTACTAGATTATCAACTGCTCTCCAGCCTCGTTCACCTTACGCGCCTCACGAAGCTCTCCTTGCCGAGTAAAGTTCGCATAGCCTCTGCAGGCCGGCAGGCCTTCACGTTCTCGCTGCTGCCTTCTCTTGAGTCGCTGAGTTTCGGATTCCACAATGCTCCGTTCGACGTGTTATTTTCTTCAGCGTCGCCGTGTTTGCGCTTGAAACGGCTGCACCTTACCAACTGCACCAAGCAGGAACGGCTTCCGGACAACATCGGAGAGGTGTTCCCCTGCCTTGAAGAGCTCACCTTGACTTTCTGTGAACGTCTTTCCGATCTGACGGAGGGCTTCGCTGCTTTAACCAGCCTCACAAGCTTGACAATCTGCCGCTCCTCCATCTACTACCTACCCGAAAATTTTGGAAACCTTCCAGCGTTGAAGACATTGGTGCTGCATTCGCTGCCGCTGTACGGTCTTCCTGCCTCCTTCTGCCAGCTGTCCTCGCTGGAGACACTTTTCCTCATTAAATGCGGGCAGTTGTTTTGCTCACCAGAGGGTTTCGGCTGCCTCACATCACTCAAGTACCTGAGCTTGGTGGATTGTCCGCAGCTGAAGCTTTCTAAAGACATCTGGGAGCTGACTAACCTCCACACTCTCTACTTGAAGGGTAACAACGCCAAGCAGCCGCTCCCTCCTCCATTCACGCAGCTGGCTTCGCTGGTCAGGCTGGAGCTTGACAACTGCCTCATAGCTCATCTTCCAAAAGGCCTGGATCAGCTGAGGAACTTGCAACAGCTGTACATTCGGAATTGTCCGGACCTCCACGCGCTTCCAAAGTTTGTCACAGGCTTGATTAGCCTTCGTATTTTAAGTATTCAGGGGTGCAGCAGGCTCAGTACAGTACCGAGGAGTTTGGACAGGCTTACCAGGTTGAAGCAGTTGGAGCTGAGTGATTGTGAGCAGCTGAAAGTAGCTCCGAAAGTCCTGCCACTCTCTCTCGAGGTGCTTAGTCTGGGAAACGAAGAGAATCCTACGGCTTTTCCAGACATGTCAAGGCTTAAAAATCTCAGAAGGCTGAGCTTGGATACTGCTGAAGCAGGATGGTGCCTGGCCATCAAAGGCGACCTCTCTGGATTAGAAGACTTGAGGCTCACAATGGCTGCCGGTGCAGAGGAGCTGTTTATTTCATTTGCGGGTCCTTCTCGCCTCCGTAGGCTAGACATTTGGGGTGCTCGGGGACTGAAGAGGCTTCCTGATCTGTCAGCTTTACAAGATCTACGGGAGCTGCACATATGGATGGCTGAAGTACTAACAGAGCTGCCAGCGACCATCACAAGCCTGCAGCAGCTGACATCCATTGATATCTATGCTCCCAAATTGACTTCGATTCCAGAGGGCATCGGGGCATTATCCAGGTTGCGCAGGCTAAGCCTGACCAACTGTCTCTCCTTCGCGCATCTCCCTGCTTCCCTCACCAAGCTCTCCTGCCTCCATCACATGAAACTGAACAACGTCTTCATCTCCTCCCTTCCTGCAAGCTTTGGTCAGCTCACCAGACTCAAGGATCTCTGTATGGTCGGCTGCATGCACCTGGAAGCTTTGCCTGAGGATGTGACAGAGCTCAAGCTGCTCGTTCGTCTAGATACCGGGGGGTGTCTTAAGCTACATGGTCCCATGCAGTTGGAGATGGAAGATGATTGGTAGTTCACTGTTAAGAAATACTTGTCTGGCTTTGATGCATAGTGTTACCTTACATTCCTCATGCTGTCAGGTGTGCTGCATTCATGAGCTGAATTTCATGCTCTCAGGCATGCATGAAGATGCTAGAAAGACTGTTCATGCACATCTTCACCATGTCAATGACAGTGTACTTTAAAATCAACCAGTCAGCATATATCCAGCCATCCAGTCAATATTATATGATGAACTCATTCACTCATCACTTTCCAAGCCATTTACAATGCCATCAAGAATCATCATCCAGCCATGCACTCACTACGTGATAAGACATTAAGCATCCAGTTCCGAGTCATATCATGCAAACAGCCTGGCTATAACTGGTACGGTATACGGTCCTAATGCTATGAGATACGTTAGAATACATGTCATGACTCATGATGCTGTGAAACATTCAGAATTCAAAGATTCACTCAAACATTTGGAATTTGAAACAACATGACATGAGAAATTCAGAATTCAAAGCCACATGCCATGACTCTTTCAGGATTCAAAGCTTGATGCCATGAGAAATTCAATCAAAGGCTCATGTAATGAGACATTCAGTATTCAAAGCTTCATGCCATTCAGAATTCAAAGATTATGCTATGCAACATTCATGATGCAAAGCTTCATGCCATGACTCATTCAGGATTCAAGGCTTCATGCCATGAGAAATTCAATCAAAGCTTCATGTAATGAGACACTCGGTATTCAAAGCTTCATGCCATTCAGAATACAAAGATGCCATGCAACATTCATGATTCAAAGCTTCATGCCATGACTCATTCAGGATCCAAGGCTTCATGCCATGAAAAAATCAATCAAAGCTTCATGTAATGAGACATTCAGTATTCAAAGCTTCATGCCATTCAGAATACAAAGCTTCATGCCATGCAACATTCATGATTCAAAGCTTCATGCCATGACTCATTCAGAATTCAAAGTTCCATGCCTTGAGACTTTCAGAATTCAAAGTTTCATGCCAGGAGACATTCTGATTTCAAAGCTTCATGCCATGAGACATTCAGAACAAAGTTTCATGCCATGGGATATTCAGAACAAAGCATCATGCCATGTGACACAACGAATGTAAAGCTTCATGCCACAAAACATTCAAAAATCACAACTTTATGCCATGATATATTCAGAATTCAAAGCTTCATGCCATACGACATTCAGAATTGAAAGCTTTATGCCATGAAACATACAGATCAAAGCCTCATGCCATAAGACATTCAGAATTCAAAGCTTCATGCCATGAGACATTCAGTTCAAAGCTTCATGCCATAAGACGTTTAGAGCTGAAAACTTTATGCCATGATATATTCAGAATTCAAAGTTTCATGCCATAAGACATTCAGAATCCAAAGCCTCATGCCATGAAACATTCAGAATTCAAAGCTTCATGCCATGAGAGACATTCAGAATTCAAAGCCACATGCCATGACTTATTCAGGATTCAAAGCTTCATGCCATGAGACGTTTAGAGCTCAAAGCTCCATGCCATGATACATTCAGAATTCAAAGCCTCATGCCATGAGACATTCTTAATTTAAAGCTTCATGCCACGAGACATTCAATTCAAAACTTCATGCCATGAGACATTCTAAACATAAAACTTTATGCCATGA